ACTCACTTCTTTAGAGAAGCTATCCTACTGTTGATGCCAATCAGTTCTCTCAGGTAGGCCTTAAAGTGTTAATGCTTTTCACTTGGCTTTACTATGACATCCACATTCTGTGCATTTTACTTTTGCCTCTTTTTAGCTCCATCATGCTCAAGGGCATCATGGGGCATCCTTGCAGTGCCTGACTCTAGTGCCCTCACCCTGGCAATAACCAACGCCAGTAGCACCCATCACACACCACTTCACACAAACCTGCTTTCCCTCACCAGTATCTCATGAACACCTTGCAAGCATCAGGAAACCGAGGCTTGGAAACATGGAAGGACTTGCTCAAGGTCACACAGCGGAGAGGAGCAGACCTGATGACAGCGCTAATGACCACTTTTTAGCTTTGCTGTGTGCTAGATATTGGGCGGGGTCTGTCTTACAGCGACCTACTGAGGTAGACTCCGTGCTACTCCCTTTGTGTAGGTGAGGAAACAGGTGCCGTGCGGTGTAATCACCCATCTGCTGCTTTGAGTGCACAACCAGTGTGAGACTTGAACCTGATGGGCAGGTTTGGGTCTACACTCTTCATTCCTGAGCTGTTCTGCCTCCCGAGGCTGTGAGGCTTCCTCAACCATACCAGGCCCCTCTCAGGCTCTTTCCTCACTGTGATTTGGGGAGAACGGTGGCTTCCCCGTGGGCTTAGGGGTGAATGTGCATCAGCTGACCTCCCTCCCCACACAGAGCAAGTGGTCAGGGAATGAGCATTTATAATGAAAGGAAAAGGAAGGAGTATTCAGAAGCCTTTTCTGATGCCTGAATGGAGTCAGACTGCCTCTCAGGTTCCCTCCAGCTCCCCCAATTCATTCCTTTGACAAATATTTCTCAAGCACCTGCCCGAAGTCCCTAGTGGCCTACCAGGTCCCTGTGATCTGGGTCCTGTGACCTCTCTCACTCCATCCCCTTCACTCTTCTGCAGTCACTGCACTCTGGCCACACGCTGTCAGCTTTGCCTGGCACTCTCCTGCTCCAGGCATTTGCACTAGCTGTTTCCTCTCCCAGAAATCTCTTCCCCCAGATGTCCGGTTGGCTCACTGCCTCAGTTCCAAAGACCTTTCATTTCTCAGGGAGATCTTCTGTGATCACTGTGTCTAAAATTTCCACACCTGGCCCACGCAGCACATCCCGTCTCCCTTCCCAGTGTCACAGTTTCTCGTTAGCCTTTATTGTGCTCCCCCACACCAAATACCTTCCTCACGTTTGTGGTTGTTGCTGTTTGACTGTCAGCTCAACTGGGAGGGGATTGTTGCGTGGTATACTCACGGCTGTAACCTCAGCCCCTAGCCGGTGCCTGGCACCCAGAAGGTTCTCTGTGAACATTGATGGGGTGAGCACAGGCTGTGTGCCTGGAGTAGATGTGTGGGAAGCAGACACTTCTTCAAGGAGCTGACGCCTGTCTGTTCATTTGCGAATATTTCTTGCACATCCTCTGTTTCAAATTTCACAGCCCTCCCCATTTTGTTTTAGTGATCACGCAGCATCCCAAGGCACGGATGGATGGCTCATGACTTGTTTAGCCAGCCTGCTAAATTAAGCCAGCCCTGTTGGATACTCAGACTGTTTCTGATTTTCGCTGTCCCAAGCTACAACCCCCCACACTGGTGGCCACCATCCAGGAGGTGGCAAAGCCCCTGCTGAAGCCGGTCGAGGTCCATAGAAGAGCTGAAGTGGACCTTGGGCTCTTTCTGCCTGGGAAAGGGCATCAGAGTTGGGGGAGGGGCAGAACTTACAAATTTGCCATTAATACCTCAGGACCTAATTCATAAAAGCATCTAATTAAGGGGTGCCAGTGTTTAATTGTAATTTTGGTAATGACCTGCAACTGCATACAAATTATAGGGTAATCAACTCAAACGTGCTGACAGCTGTTATAAATGCCATTTAATCTGACATGGAGCACCTCAGCCCGTGTCTCTGGGACTCAGGCAAGGCCAGGGTGTGGAGGATGGCCTGTATTTCGGCTTATAATACCAAGACAATGGGAATGGCATAAGGCCAGACTGCAAACACCAGTTGCCATGCATTTTTACTCACCCCTCACCCCTGCCCATGAAGTGTGGCCCAGGAAGGATTGCAGCAAGAGGTCAAACCCAGATTGAATCTGGAACTGTTTGGAAGGTGGAAGAGGAAGTCTGCCTTGCCGGGTTGGCTTGGGGCAGGATAAGGAGCTCAGAGACAGGGACATGGCTAACCTGGCTTCCTCTGCACCTTTGATAGGGGGTGGGCCAAGTCAGAGGTTAGAAATTGGTGGCCCCTGATGTGTTTCATCTGGCCTCATGTGCTCTGAAATAATACATCTGGAAACCTCAGGTGAGGCACATGCTGCCTTTTAACCACACTCCCCACCATTCTCTATCATCTTGCCTGTAGCCTACTCTCTTCCACTTTCACCTTTACCACCTGGGTCCTGTTGGCATTGAGTTGCCAGCACCTTTCCAGAGATAGTGTCTGTGTTCAGGGGAACACAGGCTTTGGAGCTGGACACACAACATTAAAGCCTGTGCCCTGTCCCTTGCCAGCTGAGGGGCTGTGGGCAAGGAAGAGATCTCTCTGTGCCTTTCCACGTGCCAGAGAGAGTGTGCACACATGTATAATGCCCCACTTGAAGGGTTCAGTCAAAAGTTCTCCAGCTGCAAGGGTAATGCAGTGCTGTGTGGGTTCTGGTGCAGACCGCTCAGGTTCCCATCCCAGCCCAGGCACCAGCAAGCTTCTGGAACTTGGATTAACTGCTTCAGCTCTTAAAGTCACAGCTTCTTTATCTGTAGAACAGGGAAACTAATAAAGAGTGCTACCTACCTCAGAAGGTTATGTAGAGTTCATGAATATGAAGGGCTAGAACAGCGCCTGGCATACAGCTGGCACTTCACAAATGGTAGCCAACACTGATACATGCAATGCTGACTTTTGACATCTGATGTGTCTGACACTTGAAGTACATCTCATTGAGTGCCTACCGTGTGCTGGGGAATTGAGGACAGCGTGAAGGACAAGACAGACAAAGACCTTCACATACACACCATTCTCTTTTCCTCTCCCTCTCTTTGAAAACTCTTCCTTGTTGATCTGTCCTGAAAACTCATATTCATCCTGCAAGACCCAGCTGGTTTCTCCCCCTTTGCCCAGTCTTTGCTGCTACCCTCCCTCCTCTGGGGCGGTATCTGTTGAGCACTGGCTGCCTTTGTGACATCGAGCTGAGGAGGCCGTTGGCTTGTCTCTGTCTCTGAGTAGGGGTGTTTTGGTGGCTGGATCATGACCACACTGGATATGGCTCTCTGAAGAACTTGCTCAATATGGGTTGAACTGATCCGATTGAAATAGCAAGTCAGGAGGACCTTAGAGGACTTCTGTACCAGGGCAGTTGCCTTTCTACAAATTTGCTTTAAAAGGAAATGTACATTCATAGGGTAAAAAAACCTATTACAGTAAAGAAGTACATAAGGCACAAAGTGAAATTTTCCTTTTCAGCCTTTTGAAGTTTTTAGAGATTACCAATGTCAACAGTTTTTTGTGCTTCATTGCAGACATTCTCTATGCATCTCTACACTATTTCCCCTCTAAACACATTCGTCTGCACCTTTCTTTGTTTGTCTGCACCTTTCTTTGTTCATTTGCTAATATTTCTTGGACTTCCTTCCATTTCAAATTTCACAGCCCTCCCCCATTCATTTTAGTGACTGTGTGGGATCCCAGAGTATGGATGGTTTGTGATTTATTTAGTTGGTCTCCTATTTATGGGCATTTGGGCTGTTTCTGAGTTTTGCTATCCCGAGCCTCACTGTGTGAGTGTTTTGGTACGAACCTTCCCATGTGTAATCTGCTGCTGGTGACACACTCAGAGGGGGTAAGGTCCCTTGAGTGAGCTGGCCCGTCCTCTATTGTTGGGCCTCCCAGTTGCTTTCAGTCCTTTTGTATTTCGCACACCTTTCAGCTGCTGAGTGCTGCTACTAAACTGCTTTAAAAACAGCCTTATCCCGTGGGTCCCTCCGTAGTTCAGGATCTCCAGAGTTTTGCTGGGAAACACCCTGAAGGATGGACAGCCAGGCACATCCCTGCCACCCTCTTGTCCTGCCCCTACCCAAGTGGGACAGTAGTGCCTTGTCCTGTATTGTATGCATTTTTTACTGTCAACTTGGAGTTTCTCAGCTATAGAACTAAGTCTGAAGGCACTCATTTAGCTGGGAGACTCCCTCTGTCTCTCCATTTCAGGGCTAGGGAAGCTGAGGCCCAGGGAGGGGGCTGTGTGCCCCCAGGTCATCTGGAAACCTCAGCTGCAGGTCTGAGGCCTGCCCGGTCTGGGTGGGCAGCGGCTGACACCAGCCTTCGCTGAGGTGCCCCCCTCCAAGGGGCCTTCAGCCCTGTCCTTGGCCTAATCCCGTTTTCTGCCCAGCTGAACAGCCGAGAAGGCTTATTTCTCGTCCTATTTTAATGCAAAGGAGGCTGCCTGGCCTGGCCTGGCTTGTTCTGAGTGCAGTGACAGTGGCCGTGAATGGGGACCCCAGTAACGGGGACAAAAATGTGACAGGGCCCTCCATCATGGCATTGTACGACAATCGGGACATTATGGTTGCTCCTGGAACCCTCTCCAGGAAGGGGTGGGAGCCTCCGCCTGGTATGCTAAGCAGACAGAGGCCAGGCCTGCCTTGGGCCCCCGGCCTTGGCCTGGTCAGTGATTCCATTGTGTGAGGCGCTTGGACCTGAGCAATTCAAAGGGTTCTCCAGCTGCCTGCCTCCCTCCCACCTCCTGCTACTGAGGCCTGGGCATCTGGGGTGTGGGTGGAGGGGCTTTCAGATCCCACAGCTGGTCCCACCATCTTGCTGTGTGTCCCCAGGACAGCTGCTTCCCTCTCTGCGCCTAAGCTCATAATAACAACAGCAGCAACAACCACCACCATGTAACAGGGGCATTTGAGTGTTGGCTACAGCGCTTGACATGTGTTCCCTCTACCATTCTCACTGCCTTCTGCTGATTGAGGAGGTCATCAAGGCCCTGTACGTTAAGTGACCAGATGTGAGAGGCAGAGTATGGCATAGGGGATGGGCCTGGCTGTCCCATAGAAACACAGTGCAAGCTTCACGTGAGATTTCCAACTTCCTGGAAGCTACGTTAAAGAATATATCAAAAGAAACAGGTGAAATCAAATTTAATTATCTAATTTATATAACTCAATCTACCCAAAATATTATTTCAACATGTAAGCTATATTTCAACTGCTACGAATGAGACATTTTTCATTGTTTTTCATGAAGCCTGGTGTGCATTTGACACTTAGAGAACATCTCAATTCAGCACTTACCACGTTTCAATTGCTCAGGAGCCACACGCGGCTGGTGGCTGCTGGCCCGGCAGAGCAGCTCCAAAGGGGACCAGGACATGTGCTCACTTCCAGCCTGGGCTGCTCACTCTCTCCATGATGCCAGGCAGGTCACTCTGCCTCTCTGAGAATCCCTTTCTGGCTGATGAAGAGGAGCAAAGTAATTCCTGGGGTCCAGGCTGCTTGGGGACAGGTACCTGAAAGGGGCTCTCTGAGGCCCCTGGGTCATTCTTCAGACCCTCTACCCACAAGGGATTCCCCCCCAGACTGTGGCTGGGGTGGTCTCTGCTCTATTCAGGCACCAGCAGAGCCCAGGCATCTTCAGTACACTTTGTCCCGGGATGGGGGCCAGGGGTGACCTAGATAGGTCTTGAGTCAGGGAGGGTGGTCCTCAAAAGATTGTTTCCCAATGTTAAGCCTCCCCACAATGAACCCATTTTGCAGCAGTGGAGACAAAGTCCCCTTCACTCAAAGACACGTAGGGAGGGAGTGGCTAAGCAGAACTTTCTCCTGCCTCTTGTCAAAACTTGAGCTAACAGCATCTCCCTGTCCTCAGGTTCCTCAGGGTTCCATGAAATTCTCCCACTGACAAACAGAAATGCTCCTCCCCTGGATGAAAACCAGGGAATAGTTTTCCACTGGGAACTGAGGCTGCCCCACCTCAGCTCCAGCTGGTCTATCTGCTGAGCAGCTTCCAGTAGATCGTTTCCTCTCTCTACCCTAGTTTTGCGTGGGCAGGTCCAGGGTCCCTGCAGCAGGGGGCGGAGCGGGGGTTGGTCAGTATTTACAGGCCACTGAGGGCGGGTTCCAGGTCAGGGGTTGGGGCCAAGACAGGGGCAAGATGTGGCTCTTTCCTCTCCCCCTACAGCATTCTCCCCAGACCCCATTGATTGGAGGAGGCTCCCATCCTCAGAACCACAGACTCGCCTGCTCTGCCAACCCCTGGCGCCTTTCTATTTGTGACTGGACAACTTCCAGGGCCGGAGTTGGGATAGGCGGTAATGGACCACAGAGTGAGTTATGGAGCCGTGCAAGGCGACCTCAGAGGTGATGGGGACTGGGTTACAGAGGACACAGCCCCAGGGACCCTGTGCAGCTAAGGGGTGGTGCCCTACCTGTCCTCACTCCCTCAGCCCCCAGCTCCTCCCCTGCACCCCATCCTGTACCTCAGCTGAGCCTCTCTCCAGCCCTCCTAGGTTAACTTGATGGCTCCATTGTCCAGAATTGGAGACTGAGGCCTGGACGAGGAAAGGAGCTTGTCCAAGGTCACATCATAAATGAATCTGGAGTCCAAGGCCCTTCTCCCCCTGGTCTGGAGATCCTAGCAGCCCAAGCCACAGGCCCTCCCCCGACCTATTCCAGTGCTAAGAAGTCCAGCCAGAGGCTCCCAAATCTGTTCTTTCCCTGCCTTGGATTGGCTTTGCCTGCCCTAGGATGCTGGTCCTGCTGCTTCCCACCTTTATGTGTTGTGGCTTTGGCCCGGTAACTTCTCACTGAGTCTCAGTTTTCTCATCCATAAAATGGAGACGGGCACCCTGGTAGGGCCTCTGTGGGATCCATGGGTCACAGAGTAGTCGGGGACAATGTGAGAATTACCTTGGACATTCAGGACATGCAGGAAGATCCCAGAGGATAATCAGGAGCTTCTTATCAGCCTCATTATGTTGCACATGCATGTGGGACCCTCAGTGGACAGGACAATGGAGACAACACAGAGGTAAGCCCGTGGCTGGGTCAACTTGAACTCAGGTCCAATTAATCAAGGTCTGTGCCAAAAATGAGGGAGGTGAATTTTGTGCTTTACACTGCTTACACTTTTCCTGGATCTTGTCCTTGGGGCTGTTTGAGAGAAGCCAACCATTTGGCTTCTCCATTTGGAGAATGTACTCCAGATGGAGAACGGGGTTGCTGGCAGTCACTGAAGGCTGCTCTAGGGCAGGGGAGGAAGTGGGGCTGTGGGTAGAGAGGGTGAAGCTGGGCTCCAGTGGCCAGAGCAACAGAGGTAGGCTCCAGGTTGTCGGGAGGGAAAGCTTGCTCCCCACAGGCCCCACAGGGCTGGGGCAGGTTGGCCCAAAAGGAGGTAGCTTCCTATTCAGGGAGCTGTGTGAGCTGTGGATGAACAGCTTTGCATGGAGGGGGACGCGAAGGGTCTCAAGCGTCGGAGGGGGCTGGACTCTGGGATCTGCAGGACTCCTCCTGCTCAGAGATGCAGATGGGGAGCAATGTTCCCAGGGAGCAGCAAGAACCATGGCTGATTACAAATTGCTCTGTGATTTTCTCCTGTTACCATGGTGACAGCTGGTCTAGCATCTTAAGCAGCAGCAGGATGCAAGTGGATCTTTTAAAGCCCTTCAGGCTTCTCCATCCTCCCTTTCCCCTTCCCCTCCCTACCTCCTTAACACTGTTGACTCACTCCCTTATTCGCCCATGATTACTCACCCTCTCTGTGCTTGGCATTAGGAATCACACCTATTTCCTGCTCACCTTCCGAATCCTGTACTTTCTCCTTGTAACTCATGCCAAGGCTTCTTGCTCACTTCTCTGGGCCTCAGTTTCCCCATCTGTAGAACAAGGAGGGCATGAGCCTGGGTGATCATGTCTATCCCCACATGTTCAAATACAGCTCACCCTTGGCTATCCAATGCCAGTAATTCCTCCTCTAGAAAGCCTCTTTATTTCCCCAGCCTGAAGCAAACTCTCAATCATTCATTCATGGTTGCATGCATTCATGAACCTGTGCTGTCTCATATGGTAGCTGCCAGTCATGTGTGGCCACCGAGCACTTGAAATGTGGCTGCTGCTGGGCATTGAAATACTATTTGGGATATGTTGGATTAAATAACATAGTAATATTATTAAAATTAATGACACCTGTGTCTTTTTGCTTTGCAGACAATTTTAAGTTACCTGTGTGGCTCGTATTTTATTTCTATTGGCAATGGCATTAAACTAACATTTGCGAATGCATGCAGGGTTGCAAGGACAGTAGCAGCTACTGTTGACAGAGTGTGGTGACTCATTTCATCCTGACAAACCCTGAGAAGTGCATTCTGTGAGTATTCTTATTTGACAGGTAAGAAAAAGGAGGCTCAGAGAAGGGGAGTGGCTTGCCTGAAGGCACACAGGTCTGGATTGTGGCAGGTGCTGTAGTCTAGAAAATAAACTGGATAGCCACGGTGGTGTAAGGAAGAGACCTAGCAATTTCAAAGCTGGGGGTGGCAGTGGGCGCAGCTCCTGCTGCAGGCACCCAGGATAGTAGCAGCAGCCAGTGTTCTCCAGGAGTCTGGGGTGTCAGAAGTTGGTAAGCCCCACCAGGGTGAGAACCAAGCTGGTCACAGCACCCTGAAACTCCAGCTTAATTTCATCCTGTGCTTGGATGTAACATTCAGGTCCCACCTGCCATTCTGCCCACAGGTGGAGTGATGGTGGCTGGGCCCTGCACCTATGCAACTTCATTGCAGTTTAAGTAGCACCCTGGCCTGCTGAGCATGCTTGGCTCAAAGTCTCTGAGGCCACAGTCCCCAAGAGGATGCAGCAGGGCTATAGCCCACCTTAGTGTGGAGCTGTCACCCAGACCTAGTCAAGATGGCTCCACAGAGTCGGCTGGGTTGGCTATTTCTTACCTTCCCACCTGTAGCCCCACCCTGCACACTGTCTGCCCTGCACCCAGGAGGCTGACCTCCCGGACCATCCAGGCCTCCTGCCCTCCTGCTTCCCATTGGGTTGAGCCTCCCAGGGTCCCAGCGCTTGCTGGGTTTTGGAACCCTTCCTCCTCTGCCCCTTCAGGCCCAGGGTGGTGGTGGCTCCCCACTGCTCCTCACTCCCCGCTGTGCTGGCCCTGCTCCTTTCTGTGTGGGCTCCCTGAGCCTGGCCCACAGCCTTCTAAATAGCACTCCCCACAGAGCTCTTCAGCTACTCCTCCTGAAGGAGCTGTGTGCTGCCTGCCTGATCCCATCTTAATCCACCCGCTGCCCTTCGTGGCCTGGAATTCGGTTCTCCCTCCTGGTGGAGTCAGCAGTGGCTTCCCCTCCCAGTCTCCTGGGCCCTGAAACCACCTTTCTGTCTGGTGTGCAGCACGTCTTGCCTCTGAGCACAGCCAGCTCCCAGGAGTCTTGGCTTCCTCACAGGTTTTGAAGGCCTAAGGAGGGGATTCTGGTACAGCTCTGGGAACACCATGGCTTGATGCTGGGGTCTTTGGTGCAAAGGGCTTCTCAGAGACTTGTTCTGTGCCCAGTTCTTCTCTCCACCTCCTCTGTCCTGGGGCCTGGGACGCGGCTGACCTCAGGGCATTTTGTTCAATGACTAAGTGAAGTAATAATCCAGGACATCCACAAAGTCTGCAAACACAGATGGATATGTGTGTGTGTGTGTGTGTGCGCGCGCACGTGCATATATGTGCATATATTATGATGTACATGGCTACTACACATATTATACATATATGAATATAGTTAATGTTGTCTAAGACATCTGTAGCTTGTAAAACCATCTAAAAATGCCATGTAAGTATGTAGACACTCTGGACATCCTGCAGGTGCTGATCAGATAATGTGCAGTTGCAGTGGATGGAGGATAGAATGCCTTCAGCGGTCTTCAGAGCTATCTGGTTCACCCTGTATCCGCAAAGCATCTAGCTCGAAGCCTCCAGCCTACTCAGCATGAAGAGCGTTTAGTGAAGGGATGGATAAGCGCTTCCTGGATGGAGGCACTTTATCTTTGTGACTTGGCGTCATCTCTGTGACCAAGGCCAAGTCTGAGGACTGGAGCTGGTCCCAGGCGAGCTAGTGGACAGAGGGAAGCCTGCAAACGGGTGGGTGCATGTGCTTTGCAGGAGCCCGGCTCTGGCTTTGTGGAGACAGCTGGCTGGCTATTCCCTGTCAACCCCTCCAGATCCCTTCTTAGTCCTTCACCCTTCTCCATGCCCTGGGGGCTGACCCTGGGGCTGTGTCCACAGGCTCCCAGCCTGCTGGCTTCTGTGGGCCTGAAACGGGGCTGGAGGGTGAGCGGAGCCCCCACACTGCACGGTTGCAGGTGGCTGGGCTGCATCCACTGTGGGCGGCTGCCTGCTTTTCTAGCCTCAGCTCCCTGAGCAAGTTCCAGGAAGGGCTCTCTATTCCTGTGTCTCAGGCCTTGGGAGGGAATGCTGCCTACTGCCACCAGCCCCAGGGCACCTCACCATTTCCCTTAACCCTTCATGTGCCTCTGTGACAGGTCTCTTTTCTCATCACCCATTTGTGCTGTTTCCTGCCAGGGCCCTTCATGATTCACCAGGAGTAACCACCTTATAGGGCGGCTTAGCAAGTTAAGTGAGAAAATTCACCCAGCAGCCCACCTGGCTCATTGCTGGTGCTCAGTAAATGGCTGTTACTAACCGTGTCATGGAGGGTAGGGTAGAGGTTAAAACCATGGATTCTAGAACCAGATGGGTTCAAATCCCGGCTCTGCCACATCCTGGCTGTGTGACCGTGGGCAAGTTGCTCAACCTCTGTGTGCCTCCCCCGTGGGAGTTACCATGACACTCATCACACAGGGTTGTTGTGAGGATTAAACACTTTAACATCACTAAACACATTAACGGGAAGCACTGGCACGCACTCAGTAAACCTTAAATAAGCACTCAGTCCACCACCCTTACCTGGCGGACTCACAGTCCCCATGTGTGCTGGTTAGAAGTGGAGTCCCAGCAGCGTGCTGCAGCCAGTACCGCTGAGATTTACCCCGTGGGGATCCGCAGGGATTGCAAATGTGAGAGTTGGTTCCCAATGCAGCTGGAAGCCTCCTGCCCGCTCATCTCCACTCTCTACTCACAGTTTTATTTCCCCATGTTCTCCTCAACTTCCCCTTCCTTTCGGAAGTTGGACACAGCCAAGCAATCCCGAAAGTGTGCTTCCAGCCCCTCCTTCCAAGGTGAGCTCACACCTGGGGAAAGGCTCACAGGGCCGTGCCCTCTTCACACCTTACATCACCTCCCGGCCTCGTTTGTCTCAGCTTCTCACCTTCTTGCTCTACTGGCTGGCTCCCTGTTGCCTGCGCTGGGCATGCAATGGATGGGGGCACGTCAGCCGGGCCAGCAGCTCCGTGGGCCCTTCCCAGAGCTGGCGCAACCCCCTTGCCTGGCCGGCCGTGTAACTGGAGCTGCAGGCACTGGAACTGAGTCCCCCGGTGGCCAGATCGCACAGGTATCAGCTGACCGCCTGTGTCCCGTTTTCCTTCACACACGGCGCAGTTAACAATGGCCGACAGTCCTCACAGGGGGCCCGGGCCCCCCCAGGGAGAGGCCCCGGCATGCTATCGGGCCACATGATCTTGCCCCTTAAAAGGCCTGCCCTCCCTGCTGACATAGCACACAAATAGGGCCTTTACTCGCTGCCAGCGACCGTCTGCCGCCCTGGGAGTGTGAGCCGGAACCCGGGCCCCTGTGCCAGCCAGGCCCGCAGGGCTTGCTCTCTCCCTCCATGTGAACCTGCTCTCGATACACCTGACCATTCTTCTCCCCTCGGCCTGGATTACACCCCATGAAAGCCCTTTGTTCCTTGGCCCTGGACGAAACTGAACCTGGCACTGCAGGGGGCTCTGCCAATGTAGCCATCTGCCCTGACCCACTCTTGGTGGAACAGCAGCTCTGGGCAGGGAATCAGGTTGGGGGTGGTGAGCTGGGCGACAGGGGTGCTGTTATTGTCCCAGATAACCCTAGTTGGTCTCTGCGGGAAGATGCTGGGCTCCTTGGCTCTAGAAGTTTCTCTGCAGCAGCACATGGGAGGTCTGGGTTTGTCGTTTCATGTGGCCTCTGCTTTCCTGGGAGACCTGGAGAAACCTCTGGCCCCTGCTGAATCTTTCCCCTCTTGCTCAGCAAAATGGGATAATAATGATTCCTCTCCCTGTGCACACCTCCATCCTCGCAGGCCCTCAGTTAATGCTGGCCATGGCTGTGGTGGGCCCAACAGACAGGAAAAGAGTGGGGCTGTCAGGAATGAGGATTTCTATGCAGGGATAGGGAGGACTGGGCCCAGGTCCTAAAATTGGGATTGAGACCTTTACAAATACACCTCTGAGGTGGGGCAGTGGAGTGTTGTGGGGAGGTAACTTGAAGAGGCCCCAGGGATCTGGGGTTCTGGAGAGGTCATTTGAAGCTAAGACCTGCCCTTGGAACCGAGTGTGAGTCTGCAGAGAGCCCAGGTCCTGGGAAGATGCTAGAGCTGCTCTAGCTATCTCATGCTCGTGCTCTAGATGCTAGAGATGCTATAGCCAGGAGCCACAGGTGGCTATTTAAATTTACAAAAAGAAAAATGCAAAATCCAGATCCTCAGTTGCATCAGCCATGTTTCAAATACTCAGTAGCCATTCACAGCCAGTGGCTGCCACACTTGGTGGTGCAGAATACGATATTTTCATCATCATAGTAATTTCACTTGGACTGTACCACTCTGCAGGCTGTGGGGGATTAATTCAACACAAACTGCTGAGCACCTCCAATATGACATGTCACATGAATGTGACAGTCACAGGAGTCCTCTGAGCTTCCATGGCTTGCTCTTTCCATGCCTTTTTTTTTTTTTTTAATACTTTAAGTTCTAGGGTACATGTGCACAACATGCGGGTTTGTTACATATGTATACATGTGCCATGTTGGTGTGCTGCACCCGTTAACTCCTCATTTACATTAGCTATATCTCCTAATGCTATCCCTCCCCCCTCCCCCCACCCCACAACAAGCCCCCGTGTGTGATGTTCCCCACCCTGTGTCCAAGTGTTCTCGTTGTTCAGTTCCCACCTGTGACTGAGAGCATGCGGTGTTTGGTTTTCTGTCCTTGTGATAGTTTGCTGAGAATGACTAGCTTCATCCACGTCCCTACAAAGGACATGAACTAATCTTTTTTATGGCTGCTTAGTATTCCATGGTGTATTTGTGCCACATTTTCTTAATCTAGTCTATCATTGATGGACATTTGCATGGGTTCCAAGTCTTTGCTATTGTGAATAGTGCCACAATAAACATACATTTATAATCCTTTGGGTATATATCCAGTAATGGGATGGCTGGGTCAAATGGTATTTCTAGTTCTGGATCCTTGAGGAATCACCACACTGTCTTCCACAATGGTTGAACTAGTTTACAGTCCTACTAACAGTGTAAAAGCGTTCCTGTTTCTCCACATCCTCTCCAGCACCTGTTGTTTCCTGACTTTTTAATGATCACCATTCTAACTGGTGTGAGATGGTATCTCATTGTGGTTTTGATTTGCACTTCTATGATGGCCAGTGGTGATGAGCATTTTTTCATGTGTCTATTGACTGCATAAATGTCTTCTTTGGGAAGTGTCTATTTATATCCTTTGCCCACTTTTTGATGGGGTTGGTTGATTTTTTTCTTGTAAATTTGTTTAAGTTCTTTGTAGATTCTGGATATTAGCCCTTTGTCAGATGGGTAGATTGTAAAAATTTTCTCCCATTCTGTAGGTTGCCTGTTCACTCTAATGGTAGTTTCTTTTGCTGTGCAGAAGCTCTTTAGTTTAATTAGATCCCATTTGTCAATTTTGGCTTTTGTTGCCATTGCCTTTGGTGTTTTAGTCATGAAGTCCTTGCCCGTGCCTATGTCCTGAACGGTATTGCCTAGGTTTTCTTCTAGGGTTTTTATGGTTTTAGGTTTAACATTTGAGCCTTTAATCCATCTCGAATTAATTTTTGTATAAGGTGTAAGGAAGGGATCCAGTTTCAGCTTTCTATATATGTCCATGCCTGTTTATTAAACATGACGGTGGGGTGGGCTGGCCCTAGAGGGAGGGGCACCGAGCTCTGCCCTCAGCAAGCTGGCAGGCAAGCATCCCAGTCATACAAACCTGCATGTGCAGGCCAAGTGCTGGGGACCCCGTGGAGGAGAAGTCACCCCAGGTGGTGCCAGGGATGCTTCAGTGTTTCCAGACGGGCTGAGGATGAGTTCCCAGGTCTTCAAGTTCTGAGTTAAGCATCTGGGAGCTTTACCACCAGGGTTTCCAGTGGCCCCAAAATGTGCTTATAGACATCCAGGAAGGAGGAGATCATTAACTCTCCTTCAGCAAAACGTAGGCTGGCTCAGCTGTGGTGGGCAGGATAATGGGCCCCAAATACGTCCATGGCCTAGTCTCTGGGACCTGGGACTATGTTACCTTATATGGCAAAAGGGTCTTTGATTATGTGAAGGAATGAAAGGTCTTCAGATGGAAAGATCACCCTGGATCATGCATAGAACCAAGCATAGTCATGAGGGTCATTACAAGAGGGACATGGGAGGTCAGAGTCAAAGAAGGGGCAGTGATGATGCAAGCACAGAGTGGAGCCATGTGCTCTGCAGGTGGGGAAGGAACCTCAAGCCAAGGCATCCAGGAGCTGAACAAGGCAAGGACACAGCTTCTCCCCGTGGAGCCTCAGAGGAGCCGGCCCTGCCCACACCTTGACTTCAGCCTGGTGAAACTGATGATAGACTTCTGGCCTCCAGAACTGTAAGAGAATACATTTGTGTTGTTTAAAGCCACTGAGTGTGTGGTCATTTGCGTCAGCAGTGAGAGGGAAGTCATGCACTAGCACAGAGGTGACAATCATGGGTTTTGGCAAGGGATAGAAACAGGTTTGAATCCCGCTACTCCCTTTTCTAACGGGATAATCATGAGCAAGTGGCTTCATCTCTTTGCTCCTCAGTTTACCTTATCTAAGAAACGAGGAACATAATGATACCCACCTAATAGGGTCATTGTGGGACTTGAAGGAAATAAGCAAGTGGATTTTTCCAAAAACGCTCCCTGCTGGCTTCAGTATTGCTATCCCTTGGAAGGAAATTTGTGGTTTATTGAGTGTGGAATGCCCAGAGTCAGACCATCTGGCTGTAAAATTACTCAAGCCTGCCTCAGTTTCTTTAAATTAGGGTAATAACAGAGGATATAATGATCACCAAATGAAATAATCTGCACGTGGCACTAAGAATAGTGCCTGGCCTCTGGTAGGCATTTTGTTAACACTGGTTATCACTAGTGTCATTTTATTCCCAGCTCCAGTACCCCATACTGAAGCCCCGCATAGGCCTGTCCCTTTGACAGAAGGGCCTGAGGTTCAGGGTTGGGCATGTGGCCAGGAGGGCTGCCCAGCAGTGCCCTGAAGAGGAGCAGGGCAGGAGGGGGCTGTGCTGGGCCTGGCTGGGCCTGGCTCTCGGCATCTTCACTTTCTCTGCCCCTGCACCCCTCAAGCTGTCCAAACACCGGCCAGGCACCTGAGGAGGACTCCCAAGGATTGGCCCTGGGAAAGGTTGGCTGTCTGCAGCGTGAGGTTGGAGGAAGAGGCCCTTGTTTGCTTTCCCGCAAACCTAGGAGCTTCCTTCCCTCTGTGTGTTTGCTTTGCTTTCTTGCGGCTGCCTGCTGTGGAAGACTGGCTGCTCCGTGGACCTGGGCCCTGGAGCCCCGGATGCTTCCAGACCTGGAGAAGCACCCAGAACAACAGCTCTGTCCTGGGCCTCTGCTCCCAGGATTAACTCTTGGACTCATCGCAGTTGAAGCTCAGGACAAAGCTGCCAAAGCCAGCATGAGCTTCACACCCACTGTGTGCTGGACCCTGCTTCAGTGGTCCCTGAATGCTCTCACGACACCACGGGCCCAGATATTCTCTCCCCATTTGCAACCCAGGAAACTGAGGCGTGGAACTGGCAGGCAATGTGCCCGGGTTCTGCAAAGTACTCAGAGTTAGACTTGGTCTTCAGTAGCCTTGCTCCGAAAGCTCTTGCCCTGTGGGGCCTCCCTGGAGCTTTAACATAGAATGAGAGGCTCAGAATCACCAGATCAGAGCATTGAAAAACAGAATCACAGAATCCAGGAATCTGATTATGGAAATTCTCAACAGTATTACAGGATCTTGTAATGATATCAGATTCTTAGATTCTCTGGCTCATCACATTTCATTGGCAAAAAATACCCTATATGTTGTATGGTCACCCCTCCTTCTCCACCCCTTCACCAATGCATTTCCTTGCAACCCCCAGCACAGGACACCCCCAGCCCACCCATCCTATAGCGCCGTGGTTAGAATTGTCTTCCTGCCACCTCCACAGCCCCCCTTCCATCTTCCAGCCCCCTCTGCTCGTCTCTCCTCTTCCTACTTGCCTGCATAAATTAGCACCCCAGCCTCTGAACATCTGGTGACAAACAGTGGCACTGATTCTAAAAGGCTGTGTATTTTTTGTATGTATTTCACAGGGCTGTCTCTGAGGGATGGATGGGGAAATTTCATCTTCAAGCTGTTTGTTTGGCTCAGGGTTGCTCTAGTCCCCCCAAGCAG